TTAATGACAGAATTTAAAAAGGCCATACTGGCCACTGTGAATGAGATGTGATTGAATCTCAGGACATTGGTTTTCATGCCTGTAAGGGCTACTGAATTAGATCAGAGCTCTAATGCAAAAGGAGTTACCACTTTCCTCCCGTACTGTTTTCCCAATCTAAATCCTTCCCTTTCCCACAGCACCTGCTGTTTGCATCCTTGGAAAAACATGTTTTTTTTTTCACTATCCCCAAGAGAGGAGAGAAGAATATTGGGTATGAGTGCTCTGATCCAATTAAGCAGATTCAGCTCACTTTTCAGCGAAATGAATCTGTCTTGTGATCCTATCACAAATATCCTGTCCAATGTGTGTTTTGTCTGTTATATTCTTGTGATAACTGCAGCTGTCACTGTATTCCTTGATCATCTCAAACTGCTGTCAGTAGCTAATTTAATAGATCGTTTTATAAAAATGAGTGGCAAAGGACCTACGTGCACTGGGCAAAATCCAGCCTGATATAAAAGCACTTTTAGTCCAATTTCAGAAGGGAAATATTACCTCCTAGAGATCACATAATTTTGTAAGAAAAGGAATATCTCGAGAATTCCAGCATTAAGTTCAGACTTGGGTCCCGTCTACCCTTGAGGAACTTTCCCCATCTTTAGTGATTTGATCCATAATAAAGCATTCTGTTACTCAACTTGAATGTTAAGTTGTGGTTTAAAAATGCCAGTTCACAGGGTGATGCTATCTATCACCATAACAGAAAGGTGTGTGCTTGCAGCTGTTCTCTCCACTCCAAATCAGCACACATGAAATCCCTTTTAAAAGGTTCTTGCTCGTTTGCTGTTTAGCAAGAGAAAGCAGCAGTGGCAATTTTTTTAAAGGGGGGGGGGCTTCATGTGTCCATGCTCAGCTGTTGGATTGCAAAAGAGAGCATGTCCAGTTAGCAATTATATACATATAGGTACTGGATATGGTAATTGCCCGAGCTGGAGCAGTTGTCTCCTGTGTTGTAAAAAAATATAGTAGTGGTTTCAGTACATCTTAAATGTAACCTTGTAAATAAATAAGATCAAGATCAATTAGCCAAAAAACACTATTTTTTTCTTTGACTTCTGATCATAAAAACTAGACTGCAATAGGAAAGATGAGAAATCTAAAGCTGCTAGGCTAACACCAGCAGAAACTTGGACAAACTCTATTTTTATATGAAGAAATTGTAATCTTAATATATTCAGAAAACCTACCTAAGAGCTGGCTCTACGCTTCATCTGTAGCCCTAACCAAGCCAACCCCAGACACTTGGAAGCCCAGCCTCCCAGGGCCATGTATCCTCTCCTCCTGCAGTCTGCAGCAAACTGGAACAGGTACAACAGCTCCTGGTTTAGGACGGGGGCACCTCAGGCTTTTGGTTTCTGACCACAGGCTATAGAATTAGCTTCTACCTGTAACAGCAGCATTCACTGTTACATGTGAGCTGTGTGGTTTCCAGTCCCTAGGTGCAGCTTGGTTTACTAGAGCTACATGAAAGTGCGTTGCTGTATAGGTATGTGGAATATGCCCTAATTGCACTTTAGATTGTAAAAAAAAAAATAATGATCACACTTACCTTTTGCATTTATACTGTTCTTTAAATATATTTTCATCTAAGGCACTTTGATATATCAAACACAACAAAACAATTTTTAAAACTTTGTGACCAAGGCACTTAGCAATAGACAGAAAAATCTGTCTGTCAGATATCAAAGACAACAAAACAATTTTTAAAACTTTGTGATTTCAAGGCTATGCAATATCTCGCGAACCTCAACTGGTCTGTCAGTGTTAAGTCTTGGAAGTCTGATCCAGTCCCATGTCCAGGGCTCCTGCATTCAGAGAGCTGTTGTGTGGAGGCCTCTACCCACTCACTCAGTGCAGATTACTTCTGACCTACAGCACCAGTAACAGAAGGAGGATCAAGGGGGGACTGGGCAGTGCAACTGGATCATGCTCTCAGGAGTTTTATGAAAATTTGTGAATGTATATTACATTGTATAGAATGCTGCAGGGAAGATCAGTCTACATTGTTCATTTTTGTACTGTCTCAAAATGCAATAATTTTATAGCAACTAGTAACTGATGTTCCAATCTTTTGCATATTGTCTAAAAAGTGACCTTATGTATGGTGTATATAGAGGATGCATCTCTGTACCACTGGATTAAAACACTTTAAAATACATTCAGTCAGAATTTGTGTTTTATTTGTATAATGATAGCTCTCCCCTGAACAAGCTATGCAGCTGGCCTTTGATTTATACAGTGAATACTGAAATCACTACAGTCCTCCACCCACTTAGTCATACAGTGCTAATAATGTGAGCTACTTATGCAGAAAAAACACTGTGTTGTCCTGTTTTTAAAAAGCCCTATCATAGAAAAGACAGTACATTGGTTAGAAGCGTCTAAAGTTGTCTTCCCTAAGATACTAAGTTAATTTGCCTTCCTGAATTCCAAAGTGAAAGCATCATGAAGACTGTCACAATCTTTCTGAACACACAGTGTTGCTGTAGGTCGTGGGTGGGCAGAAGGTCACTTGGAAGTGACCAGTCACTCCCCATGCAGTTAAAAGTAGCTCTCTACTCCTCCAGTGCTGCTGTAATTACTTACGATCCTTCCTTTTAAAGATGCAGCAGCAGTTTGTCTCATCTTTTGCTCTTGAGCACATAACACCCTTGCTCTGGATGGGAAAGGTGCGCACTCTGCTGATTCTTCCCCCTGCTTCAAAGGTACAAGCAGAGGAAAGTTTTCCCCACTTGAGCACTGTAGGCCTGCTCTTAATTTTGTACAAGCTGCCATGTTGTGACTGGGACCTTCCAGGGCTCCTTCCAATTGAAGTTTTGTTAGTTTAAGGTAGTGTGTGGGGGAGGGAGAGATCTCCCTTATCACCTTTCCACTTTATATAGCAATTTTAAAAATCTGTAGTGATGGGTCATGTATGGTCCTTCCTGCTCCAGATAGTTAAACAGCTGCATCTGTGCACTTGTTCATGTCTCTTACAATGTATTATTATTCTGTGTCCAATTAACAAAGAGCTGCTGTTCAAACTCTAATGGCAATGCAAATAGGTGGCAGATACCTGCTGAGAAGACTATATAGCACAGGGATGTCAAACCTACCGCCCGCCCAGGGCTATAATCCGGCCCTCAGCTCTCTTCTCCCCCCCTCCCCCACTTGTCCTCACCCTTCCAAGCTCAGGGTTGATGAATTTCCCAGCTTACTTGGCTTTGTCTTCACCTGCTTCTCTGGCCAGAAGCTCCTCTGGGTTCCACTGAAATACATTGCAGCACAAAAAAAGTTGCAAAGAAAATGTGGAATGGATTTTCCATTAAGGTCTCTGGGACCAGATAGACTACTCTGGGACTGTTTCTAACAACAGAAACAGTGCTCTGGAAGTGGAATGACGGTCCCTAGCAATAGGATGTGTGTTCCGGGACGGGAATGATAGGGTGCAGAGTGGAATGACAGCCCCTGGAAGCAGCAGCAGCATTCTCTGGGAATGGAATTCCACTCTAGGGACTTAATGGAAAATCCATTCTGCATTTTCTTTGCACTATAATGTATTTCAATGAAGCCCATGAAAGTTAATTAGCATTCTTGGGTCCCATTATATCCAATGGACCTTCAAGCCTCTCCCATTGTTTCCACTGGGCTATCCTGTCATTCCTTTTAATGCATCCCACAAAATTATTGTTTCAAACCACCCTGTAAAAAAACCTGAGACCCTGGAGAGCCACTGCCACTCTGAGTAGACCGGGGGGGGGGCGGGGGGGGGGGGGGGGCTTGCAATGCCCAACCATTTCATGTTTTCCAAGGCTCAGAGCATTTTATATTTTTTTGTTTCTGCTGTGATCCTTTCCCCACCTCTCCATTTTAGGCAGGCATCTTTTAAGGACAGGAAGGGGTGGAGGTTTGAGACCAACCACAGTTAAAATATAGAGTTCTACAAACTTAAAGAATTCCAGTTTTGCAGAGAAATTAGTTAACACTCCCCCCCCCTCCTAATGTGGGGCTCCAATGCAGAACAAATGCTGAAGAGGACAACCAAAATTATTATCTCAAACCACCCTGTAAAAAAAAACCTGAGACCTTGGAGAGCCACTGCCA